AGGAAAAGGTGGGTGGACAGACTCTGACAAATGGTCTAATTTTCATGATGTTGGATTGTGATGTGTCATTTGGGGTTGGGTAATAGTTAATAGAAACGGGGCAATGTTTTGCAATGACTGTTTTGCAGTTGAAAGCTGTCTTCCACCTATGACAACATCGTGAACTTCAAATCCTCATTATTATTGAGTTCTAATATTTCTTTATTACAAAGCATTGATACCCCCACTTTTCTGCAGTGTGGCCCAGGTGGCTAACAACATTGGCTTTAAGCCATGGGTAGGCAAACTAAGGCCTGGGGCCGGATCCGGCCCAATTGCCTTGTCAATCCAGCCTGCAGACGGTCCAGGAATCAGCGTGTTTTTACATGAGAAGAATGTGTCCTTTTATTTAAAATGCATCTCTGGGTTATTTGTGAGGCATAGGAATTCGTTCATATTTCCCCCCAAAATATAGTCTGGCCCCCCCACAAGGTCTGAAGGACAGTGGACCGGCCCTCTGCTGAAAAAATTTGCTGACCCCTGCCTTAAGCAATAACTCAACAATATTCAGAGCAGTTTTGATAATGGCAGTAGCACAGTCAAAACAGGGATTTTCATGTCGCTGACACACTTTTTAGGCATGCATCATTTCGCGACACAGTAATTCAATTTTGCTTGTAAACTAGAGGTTAAACTAACCCCTTTCCAGCCCTGGGAGGAGCGCAGGGAATGTTGGTGCGACACACCTACACACTGCAGCCGATACACTAACATGGCACGACACACAGTTTGGAAAGCTCCGATCAAAAGACACCCATACAGAAGAAGGGGGACACACAAAGAACCATTAGAAACCATTTGATTGGTTCTGAATGTTTCCAGAAGAAAAATCCCAAAAATTGGGATCAGATTATGGGTTGCTAATAAATCAGAGTAACTGCTTTTGTAGTTTACGTTTTAATCTTAATATTGGAAAATACATTTTGTAAAAATTGGAAGATGCATTGTCTGGTGGTGTTGGCAGTGAATGGTGTATAGTGTGTGCACATTTAAGAAGAAAATTTATTACGGCCATAGGCCCATACAGATAAAAACACAACACATAAATAACAGCTTGTGCACGTGGGAAAAAACAGCCGCTAAAACACCACTATAACAATTAAAATACTATAAGATGGGATGGCATACTACGCCTTAATGAGCTTGTAGTGCTCCTTGGCGTCACTTTTGGGTAAGGACAGCGACCAGGAACCTAGCCACTTTCAGGGTCATATGGGTATCCTTATCCTGCAGGATTTGGGCAAGGTGGAATTTTGGTGGGGTACCCTCTAGTTTCTGTATGATTGATCCCAACAAATTTGCCCGTGGCACATTGAACAAGGGGCAAGTGAACATAATGTGCTGGAGCGACTCCGGCGTCTCCTTATCACATTCACACATGGCGGAGGCTTGGCCCTTTGAGAATCTATGTCTCAGGACATTGGAGGGAAAAACGTTAAACCTCGCTTTGGTGAAGGCCAGTCTATGGGCAACAGTCGAAAGGGAGGAGAGGTATGATGGAACGCAGTAAGTTAAAGTGATACCAATGTTCTGGGGCGAACAAACACCTCCCCCCAGCGTATAATTTCGCTGTAAGTCGATGTCATCCAGTCTTTGGCTGATCAGTCTTTGAGCAGTGATTTGATCTAGTTTTAGGGAATCTGAGGGAGAGATTTAAGTGGTCATGTTTTCCAGAAATAATAGGAAAGGGCTCCTTTTCCTAGCACTGCTTTCATGTTTAGAAGGAAATTTAGCTGTCTTGATCACTCAGTGCAGAAAACTACTGGAGTTTTGCATGGCTTATCTTTTGGAAGTTACTATTTAACTTGGTATATTTATGGAGCAATCATAGTGGCATATAAGCCACACAGGGGAATCTGGCACTGCTGTGCCATATTCTCCTTAATACACCATATTTTATGCTTGTGCAGCCTTGTTGGGGAAGGGGGAAAACGCACAATCAAAACCCCAAAGGCTGTAAAAATCACACACATGTGTACAGCATCCAGATGTAAAAATACATGCCTACAGCATCCCTGGAGTTGACACCTGATTTTGCTAGTGCCCATCAATCAACAGTGCTGGTTGGGGCTGATG